AGTAATGCCCGGTAATGCCGCAAATCTGTACACCACAATGCCCTCAGCGTTTTCCCCCTCGTCGCAAACTGATAATGCAGTCACAATCGATCATTCGAGAAGAATCGGGACGGGATCGAAGGGGAACGAACGGCCTGCTGCACCGTACAGTCTATTTCGCTAATAGTGCCTATCGCGGTCTAGTTAATCATGGCAGGCTGCAATTCTCCGTCTTCGGCATGCTCGACGAGAGCGTCGTGATGCCTTTTCCCTCCCCCCCTCTCCTTCTCTCTCTCCCCGTGATCGACGCCCGTCGACCATTCTGGCGATCCGTTGTTACCCCCCTCGTTGGCTAGCGGCTTGTCAGTTGATGCATCCGACCACGATGATGCCCGGCATACATCGACCTCTCGCTCGTTAGATGACTAACACAGCGGGGGTGCTGCATACAGGGTGTCCCAGAAACGCCGAGTGTTCTTCCGGCCGCAGTTTCCTCGATCAATCTATGAACAGGCGACATTTTATCTCTCTGCGCTCTCGTAATTTATGAGCTTCGAATGAAAATCCTGCTCGCCAGAAATTAATCGCACATGCACTGGGAAAAATATTCGATTAAATACAATCGGGTAATCCAATTACATAACAAACGGATATATCCGACGAAGAATATAATCGGTTTTCTTATCAAACATCATCGATGAACTGCACTTCATTGGATAAATTTGATCAGATGTATCCACAATTTATGCCCATTTTTACCAGTGCAGATCAACTTTAGCCCGAGCTTTAGCCCCTAGTTTAACTAAGTCATTATCTTTTTCCAATTCCTGAAACTGGAACAAGACAGAAAGTAAGTTAAACCAAAATCAACGTTAATCTGCATTGGTAGAATTGGGCATTAATCGGAAAAATTAACCATCGGTTTATTCGAGGGGGGAAACCGCTGACCAAAATCTTGTACATACACCAATGCCCACTAATACCCAGTGGGCATTACTTTATCTTATTTTATCGTTATAATGCCCCAGCAAGGCCTAATGTCCAAACTAATGCCCAAAAAATGCCTAGTAATGCCGCAAATCTGTACACTACAATGCCCTCAGCGGTTTCCCCCTCGAGTTTATCCGGTGGAAACTTTTCTGTGTGACTTTGCCCGTTTTCTTTCCTGACAAAGGGAATTGGTCCGGAGTGTTTCGTTTTCAGTCGCCAATTATTTTAAAAATAATTCGCCAAGTTTTCCCGAAAACAAACTCTAAATCCGCCAAAGGAGCAAAGAGACCCTGTGGTTTTACGGTATACCCTGTATACAGAAGCCCCGGTTGTGTGCATTTGAGAATGCGTTTATTTACCTCCGTCGTGTGTCGGTTGCGTGTCTGCGTCTGTCCGCATTTTGGGGTCAAAGATCGCTTCGCGTCCTTTCGCGAAGGATGAATCACGCGCGCGGAAGTAAGGAGATCGATAAGACCTTCGTCCGGGTGTGCATTGAAACTCGCCCTTGGACGGGAAACCCTCGTCCGGATTCGTTATTCTCTCGGGATGTCAGGCGAAGAAAGTGAAAATTTTCCATTAATATTAATGGTCGAAATATGAGAAAAGTAAATAGAAGAAAAATAATTACTTCTACGCTATCTATAATAAAGTTATTATTATACTAGTTTATACGTACAGTAACATATATAATTTTATCACAAACGTGGTCATTTTTCAATTGTAATTTTCTTTTATGCTGAATACTATCGTGTTAAAATATTTTTATCCAAATTATTCGCAGACAATTTGCAAAATATTTATAACGAAGATAACAGAGATATAACATTAAATTTAATGTAATGACTATGGGAAGGGATGCCCTTCCCGTCCTTCAGTATCGATCCTTCCTTAGAATTATTCAAACCGAGACGGTCAAGCTTGAAATCTCGTCTTGACAATCTTCTTCACTCTTCGGAATCTATAATTTACGATGTTCCGTTGAAACTAGGAAGACCTCATTAAATAAACATGTAATATTTTTGCAAAGCCAAGATACAAATATCGAAAATTTATTAGCAGAAGGAGGTTTCCTTCGGTAAGATTAACAGCCTATCGAAGATAAAGTAAAAATAAAAAATGCTCAGAGTACCGGTACGAACTGGATAAAAACAGGCTTCATGCCTATTACACGAGGAAGAAGAAGAAGAAGACGTTAATAGTATTATAATTAAATAATTTTAATCGCAAATTCCTTCCTGCATTATGTGAAACCAGACCAATATCTCTAATCTTAAAATTACTTTAATTGACTTTTGAATATTTCTTCTTGTTAAAACTGAAATAAAATTTTCCTCTTCATCTAGTTAGCCACATGCGACGATTAAGACATGGGTCGCGACGGCAAAAAAAAACCACGGCGGTCTTTTTCATCCGCGCTTGGCGTTTCCGGGAATTAACATTTATCGTCAGTCGCCGGGGTCGCTCATAAAAGGTCCATTCGTAAGTTTCGAGGCTGAGCTACCGATGAACCGATCCGTTTAGAGCTCCCGATAATTGGTAACACGTGGAACGAACTGACATGTGGTCGAGAATGACGTTTCTCCCAGGCTTCTCTGTTTCTCCTCTTTTTTTTTTCGGGGTAACCGAACGATATTCCCGAAAACGCGAAGCGACGTCGATCTGTCAGAAAGATCTGGCCCCTATTTCGATTCGAAGTGCGCTGTTTATCGCCGGAGCCTTTTTTCCTCTCCCTCCTCTTTTAACGATTCATTCGAATCGTTGCACGGTTCGATGAAAGAAAGAGCGCCTTAAAAAACCGTCCGGCACTCCAGCTCCCGCTCCCTGCCGACGATCGTCCAATTACGTTGATTGATTGACGCTTACGCGAAGGCGGATACATGGCGAAATGGTATTTCCGTTTTACAATTAGAATCGTCTGTCAAGTCCGATATAATAAATTAGATCAAGTGACTCGCGGTAACGATAATAGTCCGAATTATCTATCCGAAAATTTGAGGGAATTGAGAGTAATCCAATCTCTCGGTCGTGCAGACAGAATAACAATTATTTGGGGAAACTAACTAGCACATTTTTGTTTTCTATTTCACTTTATTGTGACTTTGTATCGATTCGTTCACTATTTCTATTCATTTTTTACCTAGCTTTCACAAATTTATTTTGTCATTTATTTATTTGTGCTTTTTTAAATCTATTTTTATCTATTTATTTTGTTATTTATTTATGCTTTCAATTTCAATCACGCCTTCACTTTACTCGGGGGGGGGGGGGGGAACCGCTGACCAAAATCTTGTACACCTATGCCCACCAATGCTCAATGGGCATTACTTTATTTTAAACTAATGCTGTTAATATTATCATTGTTGTGACTGAAGCTCAAAACGTTCCACAAATAATTGTAGACATTAATCAAACAAAATTAGATGGGTTTAAATTTATATTCCTACTTGTTCATTATCTCATGAGCCTTCTACTCAAATAAAATAATTCTCGGATTTTTTTTCGTCCGGAAAAGTTTCTGAGGGGATTTCTAAGATTTTTTTAGATCGAGAGGGAGAAAGAGAATTCTGTTCGTTCTGAGCGCACTGAAGTGAAAATTACTTTCCCTCGCATTGACGGCGGATTACGCGAACAATGTATTCGATGTGGTCACTCCACGCCGTTTATTATCGGAGTCGAAGGAAGTTTCGGAACGGAAACGAGATACGGCCGCGACAATAAATCACGTGGTACGCGCGCGCTCTCTCTCTCTTTCTCTCTCGTCTCGACAAAGTCTACGAAACGATAGATCGTTTCGCGTCGCGTACGTCGTTTATTTTTAGCTCGGTCGTCTTGCGAAGCCGAGACGTCGTTCCTCCTCCTCGTCATTGTCTTGCGGATAACATTTACGGAATACGGATTACTGGGAGGGAGGGGGAGAGAGATAGAGAGAGAAAGAAAGGGAGAGAATCGGAAGTCTCTGACACGATATCGTGTCAAAGTCCTTCCTCGCGACACCCGTCATCCCCGAGACATTATTATTCCGCGCAGCATCCGCCTCTTTGCCATTGTTAGCGTCGTCGATGCGGGAATAAAATGACTTCGACGTGACGGCGTTAAAAACCGACTAACGAAATCCGAGCGAGATCCATATCTCAAAACCGCTTTATACAATTAACTGTTAAGTCAGCGCCTACAAGATATTAGTTAAATTCGTTCTCGATCTTCGGAGAATTTCCGAGTATCGGTTTCGAAAAGATAAAAATCGATTCTAAAGACCCTGCAAAGAGCTCCAGGGAGTCCCTTTCCCTCGAAATGACCTTCGAGGTAGCAACAGGCCGATGTCGGTCTCGACTTCGAGAAAAAAAATTTATTTAGAAGACTTGGCGACGACCAATTTCCGGGGACCACTCTTGCGGGTCTTCGCGTGTATATCGTGGGACACCCGAAACGCCCGATCGCGATCGCGATCGGAACAGGCACTGATGGGGCTTTCCCCTTTTCTCTGCTTGCAGATATACGGCTACAGCTGAACGAGCAGCTGAGATGTCTCGACGTGAGGATGGAGGCACAGGTCGCCCTCGTGGCCGAGCTCCAGGATTTCTTCCGCAAAAGGGCGGAACTGGAGCTGGACTACAGCAAGTCCCTCGACAAGATGGCCAGGAGCATACAATTGAGGCATAAGGAACAGAAACAAAAGTAAGTACAGCTATTGGTTCTATTTCTAACTTTTTACACTCTTCATAAAAAAAACCCCCCATTTACAATTAGACTAAAAAGGAGGAAGATCTAGTTCACAGAAAAATTTAATTATGACATAATTTTATTATTTTGGTGGCAGCGACGATCGCAAACGCGTCAGACAATTTCGCGAATTTGCATTTGCATCATGTTGACATAATCTCTTATTATGAAATCATTTGTCATCCAATTGATATTTTAATCGTAAGAAAATTAGCCGCTTAATAGAAGAGTTAAAATAAATAATATTTATTTTAAACGTTCGCGTTTACTTTTTCACCGGGCATGCGATAAAACTAAATTAACGACGCCGGAGATTTTGTTAGCTGGATAATTTTACAAAAAGCGGAATGGCGAAAAACAAGGGAAAATAATTCTGCCGTCCATCGCGGCGTTAAATGATTAACGAAGGCGCGTTAATTAATTCGCTGTAATTCAGACGCGTGCACCACGTGTTGCACGACGCAATTGAAACGATGACGCGTTCATATAACAGCGTTACATTTGCGCTATTACATTACATCACGTTGCGCAACGCGAATTGTTTTGCGATTACATTACGCAAATTTTGATTAAATACGCTATTATATTCGAGATGTAGACCTTGATCATGCACGATTACATTTTGATCATAAAATGCATAATTAATTGGAACAGAGATCGATCCGAGACACCTTAAGTATTTATCGCAGAGCTGCTTCTACACCAAAATCAGCGACGATCGTAAATATGAGTCAATATTGGATCATTAATGTCCGGCAATGATAAAAATCAATATTTAAAATAGCACGACTAGAATAAACAGATAATATTTGATAGATTATATTCGTCAATATTAAAATCACTTAAAATATTTGGCCGACAAGATTGAAGTGTAGTCACGGCCTATTCATATCTTTGATATTTAATTTATAATAGCAAACTGATTTTGGACATTTTACGGTATGAAAATTTCGTGTATCACCGATACTTTTCACACTCTCGTGAACGCAGGAGAAAGTTAAACTCTAATTAGAGGCTCTCGTTAGAACTTCCCTTTTAACGAAGACACTTGCAGTATATAAAATTATCTCGATGTGTCACGGAGAGCGTAAAGCTATTTCGCAGTTCGTGTTACACCGGTCGTAACGTAATTGATGAATGAAGCGTCGTTGTTGGTAGACTTATGAATTCCGCTGCGTGTATCTCTCGCGATGATTTATATTTCTCGCATTTTATTCCGTAAGTAGCATTGACGCGAGATTGACATTTTCCGCGCTCCACTTTTGCGGACGGAACCGCGGACGGCATCGCATTTTTCCGCGCGTCCTACACGCGCGTGCACGGCCGTACGCCGGCACCGTTCCCGCATTCCCGCGACATGCCCCAGTTCCTTCTCGCCATTCAACCCTCAACACGCGGAGTGCCCCTTTTGTGCGCCCTATTCAACGTTTCATAAAAGGAACCCCCTCCTACCCCCCTCTCTCTCTCCCCCCTACAAATAAAATGCTCGCATAAATATATACAAATTTAATTCCTTATCCTTTTTCCCTTATCTCTTTTCTTTTGATCTCTCTCTCTCTCTCTCTCTCTCTCTCTCGCGCGCGCGCGCGCGCGCTCTCTGGCTCTCTCGCTCGCTCGCTCGCGGTATACACGCGGGTGAAACGTAATCCGTAACCACGACGACACGCTCTTTCTCCCTTCTGCACGTTTCCCTCGTTTCGCTCCGGGTGATATCGCGAATCGATAGTTCCTCTTCTTTGCGGGGGCTCCATCCGGGGTTACGCCGTCACATTCGTTCACCCTTTCGCAAGAAATATAATTATCGCGAATTGGGTTTTACGTTCGATAACCGGACGGCCTCTTTTTAGATGGCCCACTTGCGGCTTTAAAAATATCATTATTCGTAAACGTCGTTTACGATAAAATAATCCTCCAGATGCTCGTACTGTGTACCGAGAGATCCAGCGTCTCTCTTTGTTTATAGACGAAACAGATTTAGGGAGAGACGAATTCGTGATATCGAAACAATTTCAGGCAATCGTTCTATAATATCAAAGCGATCTCCGATTTGTAATCTTAATTTATCTTAAATCGAAGGATGTGTATAACGCACATTCGATACGCGCGAGCGAGCAAGTGGAACGATCGCTGTTACGCGTGCAAACGTAAGGACAGAGCGATCCGTCGTCGTTCGGGCCGCAGGACGACGCAAGCGCGACGCTCGATCGGTTCGTTAGCGGGCGATTTAATTGCCGTGTAATCACATCGATACACACATCCGGCGCCGATTCCGATATCGCCCTTATCGATCGCTTTTCCGCAGGCGGGAACAATGGCCCATGTTCTCCAGCTACGCCTGCTGGCAGCAGCTCGTGAACGAGACCAAGTCCCTTAGCAGGGACCACGCCGCCCTGTCCGAGGTCTACAGCACCCACCTCGTGGGCCGACTCAATCAGGTGATGGAGGACGTGCAGCGAATTTACAAGCGTGTGAGTGTCGTACAGCGATGTACCGTTAGGCAGCTGGTCGAGATCGCGCGATTGCATCGCCGTGTCGTGAGAAGTTCGACTGCTCCATTGTCTCGTTGAATTAATTGCCTCCGAATGTCTCCATTCCGCCGTCGCCGTCGCCGTCGCCGCGACGTTTCGCCGCAGCTTGACGGCGATGTCGATACGCACCGGGTCCTGGTTGAATGAATACTCTCTCGGAAAGGATTTACTGATAACGAGACAAGATATTTCTCACATATCTAGACTTATCACAACCTCGTTCAGTCAAAAGAAAAAAAAACTGTATTAAGATTAAATAATTTCTGTAATTTAATCATTTTTATCCGCCTCTCTCGAATTAAATAAGATTGACTTACTGTATAACATATGCAGGGTGTCCCAGGGAGAAAGGTCCATATTCTGGGAGGTAATAGTATCGGTCAGTTTAAGCAAAAATGTTCATATGTAATATATGTCCCATTTTCAAACCATTTTCAAAGGTTTAATAAGTAAGTATTAAAATTGGATCTTTGCTATAAATTTTTGCAAAAAGAAAGATAATATCCATAATGAATGTTTTTATACGTTAAACTTTTTTATTCCGCATCTCACACCCTGCGTCGGCTCTTATTGCCTTTTCTTCTTTTGTAAATTTTTGAAACTGAACATTCTGAAAAATTGATGCCGTAATAAATCTACTTTTGGATGAATACACTGATAAAAAATATCTTAATTCAAAAAAATATTAGTGTACTCAAGAAAATTATTTATTAGGCTCTTAATGGTTTGTTAAATTAAATGAAAAAGTGAGAAACAAATTAAAACATGCGTTTCTTTAATTTTCGTATTCATTAAATATCGAAGAGTAGACAATTTTAAATTAAAAAACTTTTATTTTAATTCTATAAAATGTTTGCTAAGATTTACTGTAATTTTCGCGCAGCGAAGAGAATTGGATTTCTTATTTAACAAAAATAAACATTTCATTTAAGAAATAGTATTCTATATCTCACGAAATCTTTAGTTGAATCTAGAAAATGTAATGATTTATTATAATTTAAAAAGAATGAATATTTACTTAAGTAAAAAAAATAATTTTAAGTAAATCTATTTACGTAGTTTAAAAAGATTGTTTGTCAGTGCAAGAAACCGTTTTTTACCGGGATTTTCTTCTAAAGTTTCTGCTTTTTTACCACTGTTTTAATCGCGATTATATCTTCCCGGCATGTCTTGCTACAGTGTCGCGAGATCGGCTATGAGACGCACGAGGAGATACTTCGGGTACTGCACGAGCTGCACACGACGATGAAGACCTACCAGGCCTACCAGTCTGAGTCCAGGCAAGCGGAGACGAAGCTCCGCGTCGCCGAGCAGCAGCGCAACAAACTCGAGGTGGCGAACGCGGACAGCCGTGAAAAGCTCGCGCGCAGCAAGAAGTACAAGCTCATCGAGAAGGAAGTCAACAAGGTAGGTCCGTAGAGTAGAATACACCGAAGGTCGATCTCGAGTACTTCTACGCGACAAGGGTACTCGTAACAACGCCGAAGAAGCTGCTCGACGCTTGACCCTTGCGCGCGAACTCGCGGGAGAAAGTTTACGCTCTTCTCCCCTGATCGTTTCAACCACCTGCATCGAATCGTGTTGACAAACGCATAGCCTGGCGTGGGAAATTGCGCGTTCTAGATTTCGTTTATTGTATTTTATCTTGTCCGCGGGACAGATGGGTCCTTGGACGGGCCTTTAATATCTCGCGCACGTTCTCCCTTAGTTTGAAAATTCAAACTTTGGCGTATCGTGGGCTCGACAAAATCTGACTAACACCCCGATCTAGTTCTTGATAAAAATTTCGCACGAATGACACTTGCCACAACAAAAATATTTAAAAAGAAACCTAAGCTCATTTGATGAAAATTAGGAGAAAGGTCAACTATACCAGCAAGAAGTTGTCTTTATTCTCTAAAGGCCTGTGTCCACGATGCTAGAACTAGGTCCAAGAAATGTGTAGCCAATCAACTTGCAGCTTTACGAAATAACTACCTTAAAGAAAAGAGATCTCACTGTTTAAGTTGGACCAACTGGAACGGTGGCGAGTGTTTCTAGATTCCTCCGTTAAAATAAATCTATAAATACAAAAAACACGCCGGCAAAAGACAAACGAACGGACACGATAATTTGTGTACAAAATCTAAGCTTTTCTTATTATAAATCTCGAGAGTAACGATGATAATTTAAAAAATCGATGTTTTTAAGATGGGAATAAACTTATTCCTCGATTGGGGGCGGAAAATATTTATATTCCTGCAATTTGACAGACGTGCTGTTCATATCGTCCGCGAGATAAGGGGGCTGGAGCCGTTGCTTCGATCGCACGCGAATTTATTTCTCTTTCGGGAGGCGACCGTGGCCGTGGGTAAATCTGGCATATTGCGATTTTGCGCGCGTCCTTCGGATTTTGGCACCAATATGATGACGATGACGACGTCGACAACGTGTTATGAGATGCGGTCGGTCGAGGGATTACTCGCCGGCGATCATCCGCGCGTGCGACTTTCCCTCTCGCTCCTCCTCGTCGCTCCGGCTGGCATCTGGCGCGGCGGAACGGCCGTCGCTTCTGGCGAAAGACCGACGTTGGTGATTTCACGCCAAAGACGCAGCGATTTATCGCCACGATACAACGGCAAACTCTTTCCACGACGATGAATACCGCTGACGCGAGTTCGACGCGTGTCTTCTTCGCTGTCGCGCGTCCACCAGCTGTTCTCCAAGTCGAGGCGACGCGCCGATTAGCGGGAGGTGCTTTGATACGTTTACCTATCGTACGATGATTCGTAAATATTCCCGGAAGTCACGCGGCTCTTCCGGAAAGTCAGACATAAAACTTTTCAATGCTGCAGAGGCGTTAAAAGTTTTACTATTTGATCGAGATATCTCTTTCCAATATCGATAAGTCTCATTCAGTTTCAACAAGGAGGGAATCTAGAATGTCAAGAATTTTTAAGTGGTTGTAAATATTTCGCATAAACGAGTTAGAAACAAAATGAGTGGCGAAGGCTCCAGATAAGAAATATTAAATCGGCAAGGGGAGAAGGCCAGTGTGAGCCAATAAGACCTCAGCGCTTAGTTTTAGTGTAGAAAAATTTTTTTTCCTTTGATTCAAACGTTTCGACCTCTATTCGGGTCTTCTTCAGTGAGCGAAGATAACAAAAAGTATATAAATAAATAAAAATTAAATTAATTTTTTAATGCCTGTGTCCACGATGCTAGAACTTGGTCCAAGAAATGTGTAGCCAATCAACTCGCGGCTTTTATGGAAGAGCTGCGAGTTGATTGGCTACACATTTCTCGAAACTAGAACTTAGACCAAGTTTTAGCATTGTGGACGCAGTCCTTAAAAAATCTAAATGAGTTTATGCGCGAGACAGTCTTGTAAATGTTACGAATTTAGCGTAATGAAACGGAATGAGATTATTTATTTTATGAATTGGTTTCTTAATAATGAAATTAGTTTTACAAGCCGATAACTGGCGCTTGAGGCTCGCAGAGATCGAGAGATCGGGCGTTCTTTGTTCGTCGCGTCCCTTTAAAGTGAGGCATCTCGCGTGGCTGGAAGTTCGCGTGTCTGGCCTTCGTCGATGCGATTGAAAGGAAATTGAAAGTACAGCTGGAACGAGGCTGGAGCGCCATCCGCTGCGTCTTAATAATTTCGTTTCACGAGCGCAACGAAATTCAGCGTTCATTACGGTTCTACTTAGTGGCCGCGCCGCTAATTTCCTCCGTCACAATTTAGCAATAAGGACATCGTTAAGATCAACCGCCAGATCCGTTCTCGCCGGTGAGGAAACGTGCAAAATAAAATTGGACGACCAGTCTTCAGAGCAATTGCGTGCAATAAGAATTAACGAGTTCTGCAGTCCTCCTTCAGTAGATTGAGAGCTTTGAAAAATCTACGACTGCGTTACAGCGTGCAGCGAGGAAGCTTTGAGAGACTTTATCCGTCTCAGAAAGGATTTCTGGTTGTCAATTCTGTATCCTACACAAAATTAAAAGTGCTGAAAGTGAGTAGCTTTGTCTGTTTCTAACTGTCCCCTTAAAAGAGACAGAGCCGCTCACTTTTAGCATTTTCACTATGTTGCAAGATACAGAATTGTCCCCCTGATAACAAGACAAACAAGGGGGAAACCGCTGACCAAAATCTTGTACACCAATGCCCACTGATGCCCAGTGAGCATTACTTTATCTTATTATCTTAGTTTATCTTATTTATCTTGTTTTATTTTATTTTATCTTTATAACGCTCCAGCAAGGCCTAATGTTCAAACTAATGCCCCAAAAGTGTCTATGTTTGTGCGTGTGCGTGTGTTAAAGCTAAATCCCGAGTGACTCTTGTAAGCAATGGCAGTAGGAAAAACAATATCGTGTACCGTTGGCTTTACTATATTGAGATAAGGACAACGTATGCATTATTAGGCTTATACGTTCTCACATTTAGGATAAATCTCGACGTATTATAACGCGCACACCAATATCGTTTTATTCAAGATTTGAGAATTTTTTAATTTAAGATAAAAATATTCCTGTCTTAATAAATGATTGTCGCTGTATTCTACTTTATGGTAAATCGAAGCGTACTAGCATCGGATCCGAAAATCGTTTTTGTGCCTCGTCGCGCGAATTGCACTCCAGAAAAACGCATGAACGAGTTTCCGAAGGATCGGAGAGATCGCGTTCCGGATTCGAGACGGTGATCCGTTCGATTCCGTGAATTGTAACGGCGCACGGCACGAGATAGTAGTCGACGGTGGACAAAAAGCGGAACAATTGCTGGACTGATGACGCGAACGCCTAATTCGGACATCCTGGCGACTGGCCTGAATATCGGGGTCTGGGCAACGCACACCGTCGTCTCCCATGGCACCTGTCGGCGAGCGATTTTCGTCGATCCGCCACTTTATCGGCGATATTTTCGTGCGGCCGTCATTTCCGCCCGATAATGCGCACGTAGCGTGCGACGAGGAATATAAAACGCCAACGATCGCGGCGCGAATCAAATCTTTATTGGCGTGGAAAGCGCACCGGCGCAATAATAATCCTCGTGCCGACAGCGACTGTAAATCACGCGGTGCGTGATAACGGGGCTATTAGGAGGCAGGGTACTTCGACAACAACTATAGCTCTGAAGTATACTTCGACGTTGTAATATTCGCAATTGGTCACTGAGAAAAAAAGTCCGTGACAATTGGTGGCATATATTGTTTTTATTTCACTAAAATAAACGTTATATGTCACAAATAAATTTTCAAAGACTTCTTTTCTCAGTGTTCTTACACAGAAACACTTGTTTCGCTGCATTTTTCAAAGCTAACGCTACACCCACGGAAAGGATTTCCGAACGAAATGCCATGGATTGATCATACAACAGGATGTAGCGAAAATAATATTTCTTATTAAAAAAAGTGTAGAATAAAATGTTGACGCGTGCTTTTTAAACACATCGAGAGAAAATTTATTCTAAACGTGAGAATGTATAAATTTATAGACATGTGTTACCCTTATCTCAAAAAGTAAGTCAATCTTATTTAATTCGAGAGAGGAGAATAGGAAATATTGAATTAATATCAATACCATTTTATACTGTTTTACTACGCGAGGCTGCGATAAGTTCGAATGTGTTGAAAACTTTATAGATTTTTTGTTATGAGAAGTTCTTTTTGAGAGGGAACTGTCGTGCAAACCAATCGTGGAATTAGAATCGAGCCGAAAGAAAGAAGCCTTCTTTGTGCGTTATTCAATCGCCTAATTAATAAATTCGTTCACGAAGCGTTTACCGTTGGTTGAAATTATATCAATTCCCGCGGACCAATCTCGTTTTCCTCCTCGGAACTTTTTCAATTACCTCTAAGATTCTTTGGGTCTAAAATTCCTTCACTAAAGCTCCCGGGGTATTTCTCACGGGATCGAGAAGACTTAAAATTTCAATTCATTCAAGAGATGCCAGGAAGGAGCGTTTGCTGGTCCATATTTCCATTCGGTGACAAATGCGTTTGCGTCCGTATATTCTAGCAGGGCCATATGCTTCGTCGTTTTGTTCGCATGAGTCAAAGGTCCCCGCGGGGACCTCGAAGCGTCTCTCCGGCCGACAACTAGGAAGATATCATCCACTTCGTGGAGTGAATCGTGAGAGGACGTTAGGAAATCCGTACGACGCGTGGTGTATCTCCCTTCAAGCCCTTCCTTTTTTTTCCCCTAAGCCTCTTTCCAATCCGAACAGACGTCGACTGAGAATTTAGGGCCGACTTGCCGGCGGGCTTTTTTGCCGAGCACATGCAACTCGATGGAAAAATAAATAGCGGTCCCCCTCAAGCAGCGCGGTTATAAGTGCGATAAGACAGACGGCTAAAACGGCCTGGAAGCGAAAGGGATATCGAGAGGACATGGGAGAGGAGTATGGAAGTCAGACGATTGTACTGTCAAAAAAAATTGTATTTTAATTTGTTAAAAATATGCCCGCAAAAATTTTTGTGTTAAATACTCAACACATTCATATGTTAACCCTTTCGAGACTGCGGGTGCACATATGTACCAATTAGTAACACAGGACTGAAAATAATTTTCGCTATTTTTTAATTATCTAAATTAATTAGGGCTACTCTGCATGAAAAAAATACCGTCTTGAAAGGGTTAATTTAACATTGCTGTAGTGTTAATTGAACTCGAGTGTTAAATTATTAAAACAACTGGGAAATAATACAGTGTAATAGATAACCTACGTAGTTGGAAGAATTATGAAAATGTGGTTGGCTCCTAAAATGATAAAAATTCTAGTGAGATTGTGGTAACGGGAGCACAGGATAGCCATGTAAGCGACTTGTCCGGCGGAACGAGGATCTTAATTGTGATAATATGAGAAGCGATAACGTAAGCAATCCTTGGGGAGAAAAGCGAGACGAGGAAACGACGTCCCGGGGATCGGCGGGGTCAATTAATACGCTGGTCGGCGCGCCGTCGATTAATGAGATTAATTAGGCTGGTCTCTCCCGCCGCTCGGTCGGGGTTTCGTTGTATCGTTGTCTCTAATCCGGCGTATTCCATGTTCCAGAGGAAGAGCAAGTACCAAGAAGCGAAGTTGAAGGCGCTCAAGGCGAGAAACGAGTACATCTTGTGCCTGGAGGCTTCAAACACGACGATACACAAGTACTTCGTCGACGACCTGTCCGATCTCATCGACGTAAGTTTCTCGTCCATACTCGTACTCGCACGTGCACCCCGTTGGCCCCGCGGCCGCGCTTTCACCAGCTTCCATAATCGTTGTACTTATTCGTTGCGTTGTAACGTTACGATATAAATAAAAATCTCAGTCGGGTTGAATTTATACTCTGCCATTTAACAAATCGCGTATCCAACGATTCACTTAAAAGTGAGGAATAACGACGAAGAAAAGGCAAGCTAAACATAAGAGCAATAAAGAAAGATAGTTGAAAGACTATACATGATTTATTGGTTTCTACCTTTGGTTTTCTACCTTTTTAATTATTAATACAATATTTTATATATATAATATTGTATTAATAATTAAAAAATATATATCCAATTAATTTCACGTCGCAAGAGGATAAATAAAAAGTGAATGTGTATTTGTGTCCACCTTCGCAGTGCATGGACTTTGGATTTCACAATTGCATAGCAAGGGCACTGCTGATGCATTGCAGCGCGGAGGAGGGTAGGCAACGTTCCCTACAATCTGGCGCCGAACAATTAGCTGCGTGCGTCGGTGCGCTCGACTCCCGGGCGGATAAGCAGAGATTCCTGGAGTCTCATCACGCGGCTTTCATGATTCCCAAGAAGTTTGAGTTCCAAGGACAGCGTGGAGATGAGGTACGAAAGACAAAGGGAAAGAAAGAGAGAGAGAGAACTACTTGGAACTTTGTTAACTTCACCGCCTTTTAATTAAACAGCAATATATAAATTACGACGATTTTATTCCTAACGCTGTTTTAATGAAGTAACATAGTTAATAATAGCTGTAAAAGTTGAAGAGATTACGAACAATGTTCTGACTCTTGCCGGAATTTCTTTGTAGCTGATTGTCGCTGCTAAAGCTGCTTTGTTTCTTCTTTGATAGACGCCCGAGCCCGAACTGCAGAAGATGCTGCACTCGGAGATGGAACAGCGACTGCAGCAGCTTCAGCAGAGGGTGACGTCGCTGCGAACCGAGTCGGAGGAGGTGTGGAAGACCCTGGAGACGGCGGAGGCGAGTCTGCTCGAGATGCTGACCGCCAAGGATTACGATTGCTCGAGATACTTCGGCGAGAATGCCGTACCTACGTCCAGGCCGCCGGAGACGCTGCAGATCAAGTTGCGAGCTGACAGACAGGAAACTGAAGAATTCTACCTCACGGTAAATTTTATAAGAGCGTTCTGTCTCCGTCTTCTTCGCGGCGAAAGAAAGACACATGCTTTCGAAGGATAGAGCACGAGCAAGGAAAAAGAAGTAGAAAACAGCCGACGTATTTATTATTTTTCCGAGACAAAATTCATATTGAAATCTTTGAAAAAGTAGAACTCCAAAAATAGAACGTATACGATTATTATCCCATTTCTTTTGTATCATTTACATGTGACGTTTGAAAGAACTACGCTCTACGTTTTTGTTCGTTTTACCAAAAGATTATTAATATAATACATACAAAAATTACGTCAGTACATTGAATATTCAGATAAATTACATGAATCGTAAAAATAGCCTTTGGTGTGAGACGGAAATTCACAAAGCTCACATTATCCTTAACGTTGATGCTTGTAGAAATTCAGGGAGTACCTTCTCGGCACGTCGAGAATAGCCAGGTTAGACGCGAAACAGGAGTACATCCGACAGAGCCTGCTGGATGGCTCGAACGCCAGCCCGAATCCGTCAATTTCCGCGACGAAGCAGAAGCAAGCGCGCCGCAAGCGGATCGGTCGTCTGCAGATGAACGGCCAGCCGAAGCTGTTTGGCGGCTCGCTCGAGGAGTACCTGGAGAGCACGAATCAGGAGATACCGCTGATCATGAAGAGCTGTATCCGTGTCATCAATCTGTACGGCTTGCACCATCAGGGTATCTTTCGCGTGTCGGGCTCGCAGGTGGAAATCAATAACTTCCGCGAATGGTTCGAGCGCGGCGAGGATCCACTTGCAGATGTCACGGACGCTTCGGATATCAACAGCGTCGCCGGGGTGCTGAAACTCTATCTGAGGGAGCTGCGCGAGCCCCTTTTCCCCATTATTTACTTCGAGCATCTGATGGAGCTGGCGCAGCTGGAATCGAAGCAAGACTTCGTCAACAAGATGAAGGAGCTGATCGCGAGTCTGCCGCGACCGGTTGTGATCGTCATGCGATATCTTTTTGCCTTCCTTAATCAGTGAGTATTGTCGCGCCGCGACGAATTCGTGTACGAGATTCCGCCGGACTTTTCAAGCCTGGTCTTATACTTAAACAGCCTGTCGGAATTCTCGGACGAGAACATGATGGATCCGTACAACTTGGCCATCTGCTTCGGCCCGACCTTGGTACCCGTTCCGGAGGACAAGGATCAGGTTCAGTATCAGAATCAGGTCAACGAGCTTATCAAGAATATCATCACGTTCTGCGAGGAGATTTTCCCAGAGGATATTGGGGGCACCCAATACGAAAAGTACATCAGCAGAGAACCCGACGACGTGTAAGTAGACAGAAATTGATATATTTGTCACGAGATACTACGACAACTTAAGGTGGTTGTACCCTAAATTAAAAGTCTCACAAATCTTCTGAAAATTTGAAAAGAAATTAATTCAAATATTGTAGCATGTCTGTGTTAAATCTCAAGTCGATCCACCGTACAGATTCTGAGGTATAGCCGTTTAAACTGTACGATTTTTAATATCATTTAACATTACGGTAATGGCGACGGCGAACAAAACCTCACGAGCAACGAATTTCGCTCTAGCAATTGAATTAGTCTCAAAACACGTACAAAAATCTGAGAAAAATTAGTTCTTATTATCCGTATTTTTTACTATCAATATTTTGGATATTTGTGATGTTTATTAAATGAACTTTATTTTGACTTATGGAGTCAGGGTACAACCACCTTAAGATTAAGTGTATATAAAAAACACTATTAAAGAATCTAAGAGACCTAGCGATGTTTTTATCAGTCCTTAGGCATTTGTTGAATCTTTTTTGTTGCTTGGTCACTGACACGATTCATAATTTAGGGACGTTGGAGATTCGCCGACGGATCAAGTTCAGGAAGACATGGACTCGGAGGTTTACCCGTCTGAAGATGGTAACGCAATTTTTTTTTTTCGAAAGTATTCCAGACCTCGCCGAATTAGAAAACATTCGCACGAAGCGTAATTTATTTGTCTTCCTTTAGAATCGGAGAATCTTGAAGCTACGGCGCAATTTGATTTCAACGCGAGATCCGAGAGAGAGCTGAGCTTCAAGAAGGGCGACACTCTGACATTATACACGCAGGTCAGCAACGATTGGTGGCGAGGCGCTCTAGCCGGCAGAGAGGGACTGATTCCTGACAAATATATTATGCTCAAGATAAAGTTAGTACTAGTATTTTCATCGCGACAAGTTACATTTTAATGTTAAACGGGAAATCCATCAAGGTGGTTACTTAAGTTAAATTATTACGTGTGTTGATTCGCGATTTAAATCCAAATCTAATCGGTTTCTAAACGCTTTGCCGGGCACTCTTTGCGTTTTTCTCAGGGATGAGGAGCGTGAGAAGGAACTTTTAAAGTCGTCCAGCGAGGAATCTATGCGTAGAAGAGCGTCGAGCTCGGCGGACAGCATGCTGTCGAGCAACAACTCGCCACTGATGGGTCCGTCGGCGAATCCGAGTACCTGGTCGTCCGGCGCGGCGTCCGACATGTCATCCGCCACGACGAACATAATAACGGACAATAGTAACGCCAGCGGTATTATCGCGTCCGTAGTGACGAATGTGCCCTGCATCTCGTCGTCGGCGCAGCCGATCATCAGTCGAGAGGTATTGGAAACCACCGTTTAGTAGTTGATCTGAATTAATCTGTGCCCGATTCTTTTCCTCTTCGTGTTCGTCTTGGCTTTTTTTTGGCGTGTACTGTCGCACTGTTGCATACCGACGCACCGATTTACCGACTAGCGGATTTTCATCGTCTCTGTACTCTTCACGACGCACACTCAGGCGCACAACTGCTCGAGCTGCAACATGTTTATTTGTTTTTTTCCTCGTCTCCTTATTACGCTCTCGAGCGAGCGAAACCGCGAGTCTGGAATGCACAACGTAGATCGGCGACACGAAATCTCTCTTGCCTTCGCACTGCACCTACGTATCGGATCCACGCATCGCTTCGTTCGTGTAATCCGCGCGAATCTCTCGCGTCCGAGTGCAAAGTGCTCTCCGTTCTCCGTTGACGAGTTCGAGAGTTGACCGAAAAGAAGACGGAGTTCAGTGACTGAATAAACTCGCGCTGTCATCCATCACGAGATGTACGCGATACTCGTTTACCGCCGCGATTCCGAGGCGTACACACGCGTCCTGAATTTGCTAGAGGGGTCTTCGGAGATGTGGCCACACCGCGTCCACACGATAGTCTATCAAGCTATGTCGAGTGAGACATCAAGCATCGCTCTCAAGTCGCGCTGCTGACATATTATTCCTACTTTATTCGGTGAAATGGGACAGGCGAGAGAGGTATCGAGCGCGCGGACCCGGAGAGCTCGGTAGGAGGAGCAGTCGCCCGGCGAACAAAAGGTCTCGGGTTCGAATCTTGACCTCGCCCGTTATTTTTCTTGTCGAAAAGTTATCGCGCGGCGCGTCTTAGTGCCTGCATTCCCGAAGATACCAACCTCTATTGTCACGGAGAGTTTCGCGGCTAGACCCGACACGGAATCGGGGAAGAGACGATGAAACGTAGGAGAGGCACTTGACGCGAAAGAGAGCGAGGGAGACGTTTTTATTTTAAGTTAACTTAAATTTCGGAAACGAGTACTTTGTAGGACTTTATACGAGTTTGTACGATATTGTCTGTAAATAAAATATACATGTTCATTTTGTGCTGCATGTCCCGCCTTGTGGTTGTTCTTGTCTTGTGCTCCGCCTTGTGTCCTCCGTTGCACCGTCTTACTGTGTGCGTGTGTGTGTTTTTTGTTTTTAAATCTTCCTCTTTGCGTTGATTTTTTTTCCCTTTCTTGTCAAACGATTGTTTTAACGGTTGGGATGGTTGATGTTTTTCCAGATATACGTTTAGTCTCTTGGCCCTTTAGTTGGCGAGAAAAGCCATGCCGTTTCGCGCCGCGCGCATATCCGCAGGGCGAAACGCGGACTAAAAACTGTTCGATAAAACTGGCAACGCCAGTTTGTCAGTCGCGCGATTAAGCTACTTTCTTATTCATTGTCGCGTTGTGTCGTCAAGTCGCGGGACTTGGGATCTCGGCGGCAAAGTGTGTTTCTCAAGCTCTTTTTTTCCTTTCTCTCTCTTTTTTTTTATTATTATTTTTTTTCCTTCGTCGATTCTGTGAGAGTCTCCTAGAGTTTCTTCGTAGAGCGAATTCTCCCTCTTCGGTCTGTAGATGAGATCAAAAGGAATGCCGCTCGCGCGGGGGGGCCTGCTTGTCTCCAGCGGATATCCTTTCGGCCTCCGAGGTGAGTAAAGAGAGCAATCTCACCCATAGCCTTATGTAGCCACTATTAACTTCCCCCGGGGCGGTAAAGAGCGAAAAACGAAGGAGGTAAACTAATTCATCGTTCATCATAAGCCGGTTACGTGCGCCCGCTTGCGTGTCTGCTTCAGTTTTACGAGCAGTTTTTAATCCTCAAGCGGTACCGTCCCATGTGTGTGTACCTCATCCCTCGACACACTTGTGCGTCGACTTGCATGCGAGCGGCTGTAAGTGTCCGGGAGAATTGCGGTAGTTTTACAGACGCCATTTTGAACCCACCAAGTACCTTCGCTAGATACAACATTTCGGCCGTTGGATGGGGAATCTCTCGGGGACCAATTGTTCTATTAATGTACCTTGTTCGATCACGCAGTCTGCACCCCCTCCCCCCCCTCATTCGGTAATTACACATGTACCTCACGTTACATCGTGCAGTTGTAAATTACTCACTCGCCCCAATTTTCATCTGTACACATTGTTACATGGAAAACTATGTACGTAGGGTGTCCCACTACCATTGGATGACCTTTCTGGAGTCTTTTACAAATTTGTCGTCGACGCCTTCCCTTGTGGAAATTTTAACAGCTCGTCTCTGTTGTGCTCTTTTCCTCGAGATTAAATACATGAACAGCTTAAATTGCAACTTTAAAATTCAGCCTAGGCAAAGTTGAAAGAATGAAACCACGATAGAGTTTCGGGAAACCCGATTCGTTGATAGTCTTCTCGTTTCGCAAATTAATTCGTTAATGAAATAAAAATGATGAGAACGTTTCGGAAGAATAGCGAGTGCCTTCGTCCGCGAACGCACGCCCGAAAGTACATCCATCGGTGGCGAGGCGCCCTGAGTGCAGAAGAATAAGAGGAGACGTGACTCGATATTAACTCGACAATAATTCGTGTCTCATTGCAGCGCGCTCGACCGCTGATAGGTCAAGACGGCGTAGTATCTGCGTATTCCCCGCAATAGTAAACGAGACCCGTCTGTCGGCTTCGCTCAGGCAACACACACTCATTTAGTCCCCGCGCGCGCGCGCGCGCGCGCTTGAAGCCTCGCTACGATTGTTCCCGTGAATGTTTGCAGGCTGATTCCGTGGCTGCGTCGAGGTCGGCCAGGGCGTCCACCCCTACGGAGGACGAGAAGCGCTCGGAGCAGCACGGACGGAACGGCGCGGACGACGTTCTCCTGGTCGCCCTGGAGAACAATGTCGACTGCATCGACGGCTCCGCAAGTTCTGCTCAGCAGCAACGAGGCGGCGGCGGCAACGAGGAGGTCGCGCACGAGGACCTGAGCAGCATCGTGTCGGCGACGTTGTCGTCGCTGGACGGCATCGTGGCGAAACGCGGCGCCGGCCGGAAGCAACAGCACTGGAAGTCGCAGAGCGTCGGCGAGAGCGCGATAGCGCAGCAGCATCAGCAGCTGCAGCTATCGCACGCCAACTCTCTGCCGACGTCGACGATGACGACGACGCTCGCCACGATAACGGCGGCGACGACGACGGCGACCACGACGACTATCGCAACGCCGGACGACGAGTCGTCGCACCAGGAGCAACAGACGACGACGACGACCAACTTCTCGGCGAATCGCGAGCTCTGGCAGCGGCGTGCCATCTCGCAAACGCAGCCGGCCTCCAAGTCCTCGCCCTACTCCCGCGCGTCACAGGAGTTCCGCGAGATGCGGCAGAAGCACACGCCCGACCTGGTGATGGACCTGCCGCTGTCGGCGCAGGATCCGGTCGGCAACAAGTCCGCGTCGTCCAGCAGCCTGAGTAGCTCTGACGAGGAGACAATGATACCGTCGTCCCTGCTGGCGCCACAGCAACAGCAGCAGCAGCAGCAGCAGCAGCAGCAACAAGCACCACCCTTGCGAGCGGAAGCGGCGACGTCGCCGACCGGCGGGCCGGAGTCGCCGGACATGAGCACCGCCGCCGAGCGCTTTGCCAAGCAGAACCAGTGCACCCTGAAGAAGAACACAAAGACCGGGAACTCGGAGAGCGCCACGACCACCGCCGGCGGTAACAAGCTGAAGCGGATCGAGACGACGGAGCACGATGGGACGGGCGGCGTCGTCGTCGTCGAGGCGGCGGAGAACGACGAGATCGTCCGGTCGGCCAGCTCGAATCAGATCGCCGACGGCGACGGTGGTGGCGGCGGCGGCGGCGGTGGAGGAGGAGGAGGAGGTGGAGGCAGCGGAGGAATGCCGCTCAGGTCACCCCTGCCGCCGCGCTCCACCCCCAAGATCGTCGCCAAATTCGCCGACATGCATTTGACCGGCGGCAGCCAGGTGGTTTCGTCGTTCAAGCCGCAGGTCAAGGTCAAGCCGACGATCCTACGCAAACCGGTGCTGCCGTTCCCGCACCCGCACATGAGCCCCGAGCTCGCGCGCAAGATCGAGAAGCAGGCGCAAAGCGCGGAGCAGGCTAACTAGATCCTACGCGTACGATCCGTTCGCGCGTTCGTAGGCGCGCGCCTGACGCTCCGGCGAGGGACACCGTGAGGCTCCCGGCGTCGCCTCTTGGAGCCGAAAGTGATGTCAGGACCGGTCGGCGACACCGGCGCGCGTTTCGAGGGGACGCGCGAGCGATCATCTTCTGATCGCGCGTCCCCTCGGATTCGCGGTCGCTCTCGAACGATGTTACTCGACAATAACCGTTCCCTCTCGCACGCGCGCGTGGGAGACACGAATCACCGGAGGAGACGCGATTGAGAGAAAGGGAGAGGAGATGAAGCGGGCCGTCAGGCCGGGGCGTCCAGCCGTGCGTGCCGCGGGTACTTTTCGAGATTCCGCCGCACCGAGGCGCGCGTGTAGATTTTAGAGCGACGTACGAAAGCGCGGCCACCCATCGACCAGTTACTCCGCCCAGTCGCGAGGACTTGTACCGTATTAATTATCGTGCCCGGAGAAGAAAGGAAAACCGCCACGGAATAGCGACGCGGGTCGGCGCGCGCCGACCCTCGAGGCGCGCGTGCGAGCGGCGTGTCGCGAAATCGCGGCGCTATCCTCGCGGGGGCGAGTTTATTTTTTCTACAGATGTTTTCCATTTTCGCATAATTTTTTTACCAAATGATCCGCACGAAGCGACGTTTCTAGTCATCGAGCGAAGATAAGAATAAGAGAAAAAATAAGAGAGAGAGGAGTGAGAGCGCATGAGAGAGAGCGAGAGAGAGAGAGAGAAAGAGAGAAAGACGTTAGCATCGAAAAACGTGAATTTGTAACGTTGGACGACGATATAATTTATTTTTTAGTGCGTGCCCAAAATGTATACGCTAATGATATGGATTTTCCTGCTACTATCAGCTGTAACTCTTGACGAGCGTCGTTGCGAGTCGCGACGAGCGCGTCCGATGGTTCCTTTATGCGCGAGCGAGTGTCGGTGTGAGTCGAGAGAGGAAGAAGAGAGAAAGGGGAAGAAACGGAGGGAGGGAGGAGGTTGAGCATGCCGTTCCCCGTAACCGTCTCGTCCAAGACGACTCTCTGGCGGTGCTGTGATATCCCACGATATCACAGCACCGCTCCCTGCTCGTGAGTCCAGGTCCGTTTCTCGCGTTGCAGAGCGGAAGTGAGAGTGAGTGAGTGAGTGAGTGAGAAAGATATAGAGAGAGGGTTCTCTTGGGATCCTGCGAGTCCCGCGACTTTATCGTTAAGTTTATCGTAAATAGGGTACGTTACAATGTATACCGCGTGCCGATTTTAATTATAGGTACTAATTAATCCAAACAGCGATGTTCGATATATTCGAGGTAAAGACAGACAGACAGAGAGAGAGAGAGAGAGAGAGAGAGAGAGAGAGAGAGGGGGGGGGGGAGGAGGATTTAGCTAAGTGATTACGACGACGACGCAAATATTTATCGATTGACGCGAGCCGTCGCTTATTATACCAACGAGCTGGGAGGAGAAGAGGAAGGAAGAGAGGCAGAGAGAGAGAGAGAGAGGGAGAGAGAGAGAAAGAGGAGAGTTAAGAGGGACAGGAGACGACACACCCTCTGCAACCTCGATGTTACTCCCGCATCGCCAGCTCCAATCGAGGGAGGAAGAGAGAGAGAGAAGAGAAACTTGTACTCGTGATTTAACAATTATCGTATACCTGTATACGTTGACACGCGAAAGGGAGAAAAATGTATACCGGTGAGCGCGTGTATTCGCGAGGAGATCCGTTCGCTCGGCAGGACTTGCGCGAATCGACAGCGCGAATTCCAGGAGCTGCGTGTTTTAAACCCGCGCGACGCTCCCTCACTTTATGTGTGTATCGACTAAATGTTTAGCACGCGTTAAGCGGCTCCGGCGTCGCCAGCGTTATCGCGATCTTTATCACGGACGTCTCCGCATCAATGCTTCGATACTCGACGCGCGACCGCGGAGAACATTGTCGAATCCTCGCCTTCAATCCCACCGACACTTTTCTCAGACTCGGAGTTGACAGACTTTTAACGGATTTCCCTCCGACTTGCCGCCACGGCATTTAGATACTTTTCGCAATTGAAATATTGGAGCGACGCGAGGCACAAGTCTCAAAGCGAACAACGGTAACTTATAATTCACCAAGTTCTATTTTTTAAGTGACGCACGCGTTCGGGACGAATCTCTGTGGCGAAAAATCGACCTCCGCAGTCGTCTGGGAGTAAATCTGTCGTTGGGATTAACGTGACTGGCGTATCGGAGAATCGGAATACGTCGAGCAGCTCGGAGAAAAGACCCGAGATACGATAGCACTGACCGATGCGAGAATCGCTGAGATTGCAGGCGCTATACCCACCGCACCTATGAAATACCAAAGCGAAAAAAAAAAGAATACGCCCCTCGCCCACGTTGACTTGTACAATATAATTTCGTGATTATATCGATCCTCTCGTAATCGGTTTCCAAAGCGTTGTCCCGTCGTTCCCTCCTTTTCTTTTCTTTTTCAAATCGTCTTACATTCGCGTACTGCGTGTTTTGTAATCTCCCCGATACTTTTCTCTTTTTTTTTTACACGGCGCCGACCGCGCGCCGGGACGATAACGATTTTTTAAACGAATCCGTAATTTAATACGCGTATAATTTAGTGTAGCCACGTCTTATCAGTGGATGATCCGAGAGGAGCGTAATAGCTTAATCGATAATATCTCCCATTAAGGCTAATGACACATATGGATATCGTAATAAACGAACTTACAGGCTATACTATTATATCACGAGCGAGGCTCATTCGTCTGCAGACTCCATTCGCATCCATCCCGACTTTGCGTCCCGACAACTCGATTCTCACACGACGGCTCGCGGCTTTCCTTCTACATCTCTTTTTTTTATTCTTTATATCATTGAAATATACAATCGATTTTTAATTTTTTAATTTTCATTAGCAGCATTACCGAAGATGAAGTAAAACCAAATGCTCGCAAAGTTAAGCTACCAGAACGAACTGGATAAAACAGGCTTTAAGCTTAAGGGGATGCTGGAGTGATTCTGCACTTTCGCACCTTTCGCACTTAAAACTGTCTGTTTCGTGGAAAGATTTGTGTAATACACAAATTAAATGGCACGTGTACAGATGATCGAAA